TATTGTATAACTCTTAATATCTATTTGACTACAATTTGAGTAAAACCCACAATGCTAGGCAGGGTTTAAACTGGAGTGCAAAAAAAAGCAACAGATGCTCAACTTATTTATTAAAGCTCCAGAAAAATGTATTGGAAAAGAATAACGGAGTGTACTGGATCAAAGCTCACACTAAAATAATGAATAAAGTTAGGAGATGGCGGGTGGATTAGAAGAATAGAGACCACGGTTCCTATTAACATTATCTTTAATATTTGGAAAATTACAAGTGTTTTCACAAACCACCTGAAATGCTTTAGCATTGGCCTTCCTATTATTAGTAGAATTCTGAGTCTTGGATGGAAGGGTGGGGGTGTATAATGTCACGATATACTGATTTAATGTTTCTGAAAAAATGTTTTCAAGCAGTAGGACTGGTGCTGCATTTATACAAAAAAAAATCATAACAAACAATTATTTGGAAATGTATGTTTTCCTGTTTACAAACTATGATGACATCGCATACATACAGACACACGCACACATACATACACCAAGACAATTGCAATGGTTCCTGTTAAACTTAATAGGAACCAAAAAGACAAATTTCAGAGCAGTGAGTTATCATTTTTCCAGATTTTGAAATACACCAATGAGGACCATATAGATCATGAGAACATCAAATTAGCTCTAGAAAAAGCAGAAGAACTTTGCCAACAAGTGAATGAAGGAGTGAGGGAACGCGAGAACTCAGACAAGTTAGAATGGCTACAATCACATGTTGATTGTACTGGACTACCAGAGGTAAAATTTTGTTTATTTTGTTTCAAACTCGAAAGAGGGTTGCATTGGATTTCTTAGGTTATTTATAAAAGTAGAAAGCTTTTATTTCCAGTGGAGTCTATTTGAGAATTTGGCAGTATGCTTGGAGACAATCCTCAGCATTTCTTCCGAAGAGTGTACTGCGTTTTTCAACATGCACGTGAGACCAACGGCTTAACACCTTTGCCAGATTTTTTTAAAGATCTTTTTTAGGTTCTTTCCCGTGTGCCAAAACAAGTCACGTGTACATGTACAAACATACTTTTTTGGAATTTTATCTAGTCATATATCATCAAAATGGTGTGTCTAATAAATTGGCGAGAAAATATTAAGGGGACGAGTAAACTCGTCGCCAGCGTAGGGGCAGTACTTTTTATTGCCTCTGCCAAGTGCGAGTTTTCTTGTCCGTTTTTTGCGTGGGTTGGTATATGTTCAGAGGGCAACCCCACTCATGCAATCGAGTGTACTGCCGGCAACATAACACAACAAGCATGCATATGTTATTTGTACGTTATCGTCTAGGTGTATCTTCCCCGAACTATCAGCCATTAAATGTTACCCCAATTTTGATGAGTGTAGTTGTCACTAGCGCCTTCAGCAACACCTGTGGGACGAGTATACTCGTCGCTGGCAGCGAACGTGTTTAACATCTTCCAAAAGATTGTGCAAACACAATGGATGATAGCAGCAATGAAATTGTTGACCAAATTTACAGTTTGTAAAAAATCTGCAAATTTCAGCTCGCAAGTTAAACCTGCATAATTGATCAATCAAATTAGTATATGATTGTTCTAAAACATAATATATTCATCATAATGAGATTAAATCCTAGTAAATATTCTTGTTTTTTTTTTGTTTTTTTTCTAGGAACTTGTCTTCAATTCACTAACCAACTGCTTGGGTCCTAGGAAATTCCTTCATTCCAGTATGTTACACAAGGTAATCATATTAACATGTTTATCACAAAACAGCATTCATTCGATTACAAGAAAGATCAGGTGGTGAAGCCAGATAGTAGATAAGCTGTAAAATATATTCCTTCCCGTACATAGCATAAATATTAATAGACTGGGTGCAGTAGGAAATTAGCGGGAAAAAAGTAAAGGAAAATTTATTTTTGGTTTTTCTGAATCAGTATATCATATAGTGTCTCAGAAAAAAAATCCCCATTCTTAGAGCTTGGGCAATTTTTTCTTGGGCAACTTTTTTTATAGCACTTTGAAATTTTGACATAAAATATCCTATTTTGGACTAATTAAGATGGGGGTAGGGGAAATAAATGTATGTTTTTAGTCACTTATACATATGCTATGTATACCAAATGTAACTTGAACTTGGCTAAATAATTACTCTTCACTCTCGTAAAAAAAATTAATCGGAATGATGACGTCATCACAAAAAATTCCAAGATGGCTGTCATTTTGGAGGTAAAACATTTTTATAATGTAAAATCACCTTTATTGTTATCAGAGCAACTTCAAAACAATGTTATACATACAATAATAAAATAAAACATATGCACACACACTCCCACCCCCCAGCCTCCCCCCCCCCAAAAATTGAAAAATGACTTTTTGTTCCTGATCTATGATATATTAAAATAGAATACAGATTTTATATCAACGTTGAGAAAGTCCTGGGGACAGGACGAGATATTCGTGCCTAATAAAATTATGTTTCTATAATACGTCAACTGTGTATGATAATTATCGTATCAATGTCTTTTTTTACATATATATACATATATATACATACATATATATATTATAATAATAATAATAATAATAATAATAATAATAATAATAATAATAACCATAATAATAATAATAACCATAATAATAGTGTCATATCCAATAATGAATGTATGTTAATAAAATATTCATGTTAATAAGTTTTTCACTGGAAAAAGAAATAGCGAAATTTTGCTCTGAAAGACCCAACAATTCAATTTCTGGACTCGGATCGGGGTAAATTCAAAAAAAAAAAAACTATGGTATTATTTTAGATACTTCTAGTTTTGCTGTAAATGTGAAAATTGACAATAAACTTAGTTAACTCTTTACTGTCTTTATCAAATTTTAATAAAATGATCATAATGCCAATTTCCAAGATGGCGTTCATCTTGGCGGGGAAAAGATTATTATTATTATTATTATTATTATTATTATTATTATTATTATTATTATTATTATTATTGTTCTCAAAGTATTATTAAGAAGACACAACAATAATTGTTACTTAACCAATATCCTGAGGCGCGTGGAACGGAGAGAGTAGAGAAAACAGTAGAACTTATACATACTGTTTGTGGTGCTGAACTAATAATAATAATTCAAATAATAAAACATTAAATAGTTAAACCGTTATTAAATTTTTAATTATTGGTCATGTTGTAACTTCAGCCGTTGTCTTTCAAACCATTTAAATTATCGTAGCAAAAAGTATAAAAACTAACTTGTGTTTTTAATGAAAGTTAATCACTTGTAAATTATAAATGCTTGAAAATGTGTAGTTCAATGGTTTGATTGAATGTGTGTGGAATGGGAATTGAATATATGGCGTAGACCTATGTTTAAGAAAAAAATACAAAGTATAGGCCTATGTAGGCCTAAAAAAAAACAAAGGTTACTTTGTATTTGGTCACGGAGGGCTATATCTGAGGATTTTTCAAATGAAAGATAGGGGGTAGCTAGCTACCCTACCACTATTGATATCATTACAGTATTATCATCATCCGTCATCATCATCCTCATCCTATTCGTCATCGTCATCATCATTCTCATTGTTGTCTAATCATCATAATCATCCTTACTGTCATCGATCGTTGTAATCATCACCATCATCAACACTTCATACTCATCCATCGTCATCGTCCTCATCTTCATCACGTCCTCATCGATCATCTATCATCGTTATCATCATCCTCATAATCTTCATCCTCCCCCTCATCCTTCATCATTTTCTTCATCATCATACTCATCATCATATTCATCCTCATCCATCATCATCCTCGTCGTCGTCAATGGTGTAGCCAGCTATTGGCACAGTTTTGAAAGTCCCACACCATTTTTCTAATGGGTCCACATTTTAAAAATTGGTCCAATTTATGTAATTTTATGCATAAAATGGATCCAGATTTCTCATATTTAGCTAAAAATGGGTAAAATTTAAGAATATGGGTCCAGATATTTCATATTTTTGCGTAAAATGGGTCCAGTCCACATTGTTTAAATTTGCACGTAAAGTGGGTCCACCCTGATATTGTCCCACACCGTTTGAAAATCCTGGCTATGGCATTGATCCTCATCCATCATTGTAACCCTCATCACCATTCTCAACAATCATCGTTATCACCATCACCACAACCTACTAATCATCCTCATCCATCATCATCCTTATCCTCATCATCATCAACCTCATCCTTATCCTCCTTATCATCACTCATTCATCATTCATCATCATAGTCCTCATTATCATCATCATCCATCATCATCTTTGTCCTCATCATCATCAACCACAACATCATCATCCTTATTAATCATCATTATCAATTATCATCCTCATCATGAGAATGATGATGAAGAGGAGAACGACAAGAATGAAAATGAGAATGAGGGGCAGAGGAGATGTTTCTCATTCTTCATCATTAACCTCATCAACATCATTCTTATCAATTATCCTCCTCATTATCACGATCATCCTAATCATCATCATCCTTATCTTCATTATCATCAAACTCATCATCCTAATTCTCCTTATTATCATCATCATTATCCTCACCATCCTTATCAGCATCATTTTCTTCCTCATCATCATCCATCATCAATCACCTACCTCATCATCTTCCTTCTCATCATCAACTGCATCATCCTCATCATCATTCTTATCTTCATCACCATAATCATAATCATCCTTACCCTCATTATTATCGTCATCCTCATCATCTTCCTGATTACTGTCATCATCATCAACATTACCATCATAATTTTCATCATTATCCTCTTCATCATCAGTAACCATCATCATCACGAGAATGATGATGAGGAGGAGGATGACGAGAATGAAGATGAGGATGAGAGGGATGATTCTCATCATTTATCATCATCATCATCATCATTCTCATCAATCATTTTCTATCATTCTCATCACCATCATCACAATCATTATCATCAATCATAATCACCATCATCTTCTTCCTCACCATCATCCTAATCATCTTTCTTCTCCTCATGATCAACATATTCCTTATAATGGGGATTATAATGAGGATGGGGATGACAATGAGGAAAATGATGATGATGATAATAATAATGACATCAGTATAGTAAGAATACCAGTACTAACGCTAATATTAATGTGAATTATAAACTATAATTTTTTTGAAACGCATAAGAATAATTATATAGAGTACTATATTAATAATATTATAAAGTAACAACATAATAGTATAATAATGATGATGAAGAAAAATGTAGTGTAGAAAGATTAAATTTAAATAGGTAAACATTTCCCTTAATTTGGATTGTCGTAGTCTTGGAATTCGGTGTGTTGACGTCATCATTCCAAATTTGCTTGGGAGGTGGGGAATTCCCGTCTGACAGGCCTAGACTCCCATCGTCCGATGCCACGACAAGGTTGCCACAC